GGCTCTTTGGCCTTTCGGTTTATAAAATAACAATTTTCAACATTTCACTTTTATAGCATTGGACCATTCATTATTGTTCCACTTTAGTACGAACCTCATAATCTCAATCTTGGTTTTCTACTCGACCTAGCTCCCTTGTGGTTTTTGGTCACTTCGTCTGCGCTTGCAAGGCCCGTCACCATGCACCACCTCTCTTCACCAGCCATTTGGAAATAATTTCCCAACAAATATTACCAATACTATGGTCCTGCGAACTGATAAATAAGCAATGTTGTGCATAAATATTTCTAAAATGACATTAAATAGCTAGTTTTGCATGCATGTATGTCGAAAAAAATGTGGATACTTAATTAAAATTTTAATATACAATTAGAGATTGGTTAGTTTCTTTAGAATATGAAATTAATAGCTCTTGAATAAGAAAATATGGATACTGAATGAAAATTGATTTTAAGACAGAACAACCTAAAATAGGTAATTGAATTGATATATAATTACAAATTGACAGGATTCTTTAGAAAATGACATTGAACAGCTAGTTTTGCGTGCGGAAATCTTGAAAATGGAAAATGTGGGTACTGAATAAAAATTGAAATTAAGGTACAGCAGCACAAAATATTTGATTAAATTGATGTATAATTAGGGATTGATCATTTCTTAACAATGCTCTTGCGTATAAATAAATGGAGATGTAGAGTGTACTGTGTAATGAGCGGAAGTACAATACCTGGATCTAGGAGTGAGCGAGAAAAATGTTAGATGGAATACACTGAAAGTGTCGAGATTCTACAAAGCAAGAGTTAGGTGGAACCAGCGATCGGCCAAACACCGTCTACATTTTAGGGAAGGAAAAATTACGGAGTTTGTCCCCAACTTATCGCCAAAGTAGAAAGAGGGATTTGGAAAAAATAAAAATCAAATTCTGTCTTGTTCATCAATTTACATATACGAAAAAAGTTTTAAATCATCTTTATATAGATAATGCACATCCATTGACATCAACTATGGTTGTTCGATCACTTAATGTGAAAAAATGATCAATTTCGCCTACTTGAAAATGGAGAAAAGATTTTTGGTCCTGAAATACCATACCTTAGTGTAATTGGAGCATTAACTTATCTTGTAAATTGTACTCAAACCAATATAGTTTTTTCTGTAAATTTTCTTACAAGATATAACTCTACACCAACTCAAAAACATTGGAATGGTGTTAAACATATTTTTCATTACCTGAAGGATACTATTGATTTGAGATTATTTTATTCTCAAAAGTCAGGATCTGTTTTAGTGAGATATGTAGATGCATGTTATCTATCCGATCTATATAAAACTAAATCACAATCAGGATATATATTTACATGTGGAGGAACAACTATATCATGCATGGAAATCTGTGAAACAATCCTTGACAGCAACATTCTCAAATTATTCTGAAATTATTGTAATTCATAAAGCAGGCCGAGAATGTATATAATTGAGAAACATGACCCATCACATTCAAGTATCATGCAGGTTAATTTCAACAAAAGATAATCCAATAATTTTGTATGGAGACAATACAGTTTGTATTGCACAACTTAAATGAGACTATATCAAAGGTCGCAGGACTAAGCATATTTCTCTAAAAAAAGTTCATACGCATAATCTTCAAAAGAATAGCAACATCGATGACCAACAAATTTGTTCAGGTGACAATGTGATCGATTTATTCACAAAAACACTGTCGACATCTGCATTTAAGAAATTGGCTCACAAGATTGGAATGTGTCGACTAAAAAAAAATTCAGTAATTAATATCAAGGGGAGTAACTGTATTTTTCCTTCGTTTATATCTTATTCCACTTAATTTTCCTAGCAAAATTTTAATGAGGTAGCATTTATTTTTAATATTTCAAAATAATTGTACTCTTTTTCTTTAGTTTGATTTTTCCCTATTGAATTTTTATCAAACAAGCTTTTAATGGGGAAATATTTTGTAATGTGTCATTTAAGGGGGGAGTGTTATAAAATATAAGTTTATGATAGTTTATTAGCGTATGACAATAATACCCTTGTAACCCTAGAAAATATTACGTTGTATCCCTAATTCTGTCCTATAAATATAAGATTTTGGTTCTTAATAAAATACGTACAAGTATATTGACTTCTCTCTATTCTTTTATCTTTTTTTCTCTTTTCATAATAGTGAATAAATACTTTCCCCAGCACGCCAATAGAATTTTTGAATGAAAAACTTTATCAGGAAAATATTAGATGATAAAAATGTGATGAAATATAGGAAGTGATATCAATGATGAACATTCAATACAATTACATCGTTTTTAAAATTGGTAGGCACAGCATATAATTATCCTTGGAGGGAAAGAGTTAATATTGTTTTGACAATTTTGACCCTCAAAATAGAATGAAGTTTGGTTTGCTAGTTGAGTTCTTTTAAAAATTCATTTTTTAAAGACTCATTTCAATCATAAATTTTTTCAATAAAATAATTTTACATGTAGATTTAAAATTTTTCTCTATGTTTTAACCATACATTCTAAAAAGAAAAAAAAATTATTTTTCACAAAATTTATTTCAAAATAAATGATTGCGTTATAGAGCGAGGCACGGACGAAACGCTACGCTTTGACAGTGAGCAAAACGCTGAGAAATATGAGAATTTTGTACTATGTAAGACAAATAATGAAAATGTTAGTGGGAAATAGATCATACATGTAAAACTTGATATCACAATGAATTTTATTAGTCTCGAGATTTTTGAGGTTTTCGAGTGCACATTTGAAAACTTCATTTCATTGGCAGAAAAAAGGAAGAATTAACATGTTGTAGAGAAGAAATAATCAAAATGTTGGTAGGCTTCGAAGTTCTATATACACTTGAGACACACAATCTATGGCCTAAGCTAGTAGGGTAATTTTCAAAATTAAATATACAAGTGTGTGTATATTATATCCACATGTTAGGTATTAAGGGACGATGAAATGTTTCTTACATCTCGGAATTACCCACGTCCCATCAACTAGCGAATATTCAAGCCAACTAGTTTGATAATTTTTGCAACATTTACATGTATCGCGCATCTATAAGTTTATGTCTTCTAAATCAAAATTTGATTTTTAAGCTACCAAACAGAAGGATCATGCTAAATTTCATCAATTATAGCATTTTCAAGTGATTCCTAGAGTGCGTTTGATTTGTCGTTTTCCAGCCGTTTTCTATTTTTAGTTTTCGAAAATGCTCAAAACGTATTTCGTCACTTATTTCAGAAAATGTATTTCCAAAAACAAGGAAAAATTTATAATTCAAAATTCAAAATGATTTTTTTCCGTTTTGAGTGTTTTCAGTTAAAAAAACTCAAAATGCTGAAAACATTCAAAACACGCCCTTTTTTTTTTGACCTAGGGGATGCTCGACAGTACTTTTAAAATAGTATATTCACCAAGTTTCAAATATATATTATCTGGTATATATTAGCATATAAATAGATTTTAAGTGAATAAATTTGGAGACTAAAGCAATATTGCCTTTCCCTTGGAAAATTCTACTTTCAAGACTTTGCGCCCCCTATAGGT